ATAAGAAATAAGAGTGGTTCCTGGATAGAGTAAAATGAGAGGCCATTAGTATCTTGGCTGGAACTTATCAAGACAAGCACATGAATATGACTCTTTAAAGAACACAAAGACACAAAGGGAAAAAAAGGGAGACTTAGCTGGAGATAAAGGGAAACGTTGGTATATGGGGTGGGGAAGTGTGTTTTTCAATAAATAAGAAAAGCTAAAGTATGGATGTCTAAATAATTTTTGGGAATGAACTAGTAGAGGCTGAAGACACAGGAAAAATATGGCCGATACATGGAGTAAGGTCCCTGAAAGTGCAGGAAGACCAAAGAGCCACAGCACAGTAGAGGGACTGGACTTAGAAGGAGGAAGGAAAGGAAAGCAGACCTGTCACATAGCTCTAGAAGAGGTTCTGTCTCAGGGTTTCTATTTTTTCTAGGAAGAACAAGAAGGCCATCTGCTCACAGTGAAGGAACCTTAAGGAGAGTAGAAGAGTTAGAAGAGATTTAAAAATTATTATGATTGGGACCAGCAGGTGGTATAATGGTTACATCAGGGGACTCCCATGTAGTCGACTGTAGGTCAAGTCCCAGACCTGGAGGCTTAACACTCACACCGAGTGCCTGTGCATGAGCACCCAAAATCCTGAGAGGAGAATGGAGGAGAAGGGATTTCAGCATGGCTATGCCCCTGGAGGGTGATTTCTCACCTTCTGCCTCTCTGTTTCTGTCTCTCCAGTGAGTGTACATGCCCTATAGCAAAAAGGTCTCTAAAAAACATTACTATGATTATTCTATTTCATGAGAATAAGAGAGAGATAAGTATCCTCAACATAGCCTCACACTGGAGTCTACCCCCAGTCTTTCTAGCCAGTCAAGATCCAGGGCAAATGCACAGGGCATGTACAGGTTGACCAGGAAACCAAACCTGTGACCATCCATATGGGTCCAGCATCACTTGAACAGCATGTTACTGCTACACCACCAGATCTGCCCTTTATTTTGTTTTACTAGATTGTCAGTAAAGTCATGACATATCTTTCTTGTTTTTCTATGCAAAAAATGCATCATGATTTTTCCAACAACCCAATAGTTATTATTAGCTTTTCTATTTATTTATTTCATGAGATAGAGGAGAGTCAGATTTTAAATAGTCACCAAGGAGAATGCAAGGGGAATAGGAGTCCCCCTCCAAACTTCCCTGTGATTTCATACCCGAAATTATGGACCCTAAGAAATGTGGTGACCAAGATTTATTCTGCATGGCCAGGTTTATAAAATGGGACTCTTTGTATCCTGGTTTTACAAGTATCCTACAAACCTCAGTGCACAGAGGAGAGGGACTGGGATTTGAAAATGTAATAGCCTGATAAACATTTCCATCAGCACATTCCAAGAAATTAATTTTAAGCCCATGTTTTAATAAACAGCTAATATTAAAACATGACACTGAAAATATATAATATGTAACCAAATTGAAAATCGAAATTAAAACAAAATACTACAGTGCAAAAGTCCTCAGTCATTGCAGGTTTCTATTTAGAATTAAATTTCTAGTATTAATGTTCCTTTTCAATTTGTTGTGGGTCAAGGGGTTATTAACACCATAAAAAAAAGAGTTAATAGAAAAGTACATCTAGGACAAAGATGTGTTATTATATTTTGCATGAATGCCTGTTATTGGAAATTATCAGTTCTTCAAAACAACCATTCCTAGTTCATTAAGGGATAGCCAATTACATCAAAACCCATCTCCTATTGTATTTTATTTTCCAATTAGTAGTATTCTAAAGACAAGAGCACAAGTCACAAAATAAACTATACTTCTGTATCTACTGCTGCTTAATAAAAGACATAAAGGACATATACGTTTTTATCCAACTAAAGCATAGAGAGTTTATTTCCAGATTTGTTTTTAATGTTATACTTAATTACTTTTTCCTACTCTAGCCTTAAATCTTAACTAAAATCTGTGACTACAGGCAGACAAGCAGAATTAGTATACAGAAACAGGGATATCTACTTAAAATAAGCCTTTTAAGAATGATTGCAAATAACTAAAACACACATCAACGATAAGAAAAGAAACACAAACAAAAAAAGATATTCATGAACCAACAAGAATTTAAACTTGGTTGGGACCAGCAGGTGGTGTGGTGGATAAGGCGCTGGACACTCCCACATGGCCAGCCATGATTCGAGTCCCAGACCTGGTGGCTTGCTTTCTCACTCCCCCTCACCCCACCCTGTGTTTCTCTCTGGTCAAATTAAAATGAATGGATGAATAAATAAAATTAAATAAATCATTTTTTTTAAAATAATTTAAACTTGGTAAGGATTAAAAATGATGGTGATTATTGACTGGAGGATGGGTGGTGAGGCAGTGAGAATGGGAATTCACAGGAATGTGGCTGACACTCCAAGCTTCACAGGCAGCCCATTTTGGGCCATGGGACCCTGTTCAGGCCAGCAAGAGATACAAACTAAGGTGCCGTGTGAGGCTCTCAGACGAGACAGCCTTTCTTCCCATTGCGTAGTAGACAAGTGTAAAGAGTGGAACTTCAGAAACCATCTTGAAGAATGGAGTGTGCCCTTGAATGTGACAGTAAAAGCCATACGCACCAGAGCAGGAAGATAAAAGCAGTCGAGGTCTCCAAGAACCTTGCAGGGCTGCAAATTTCTACCTCATGCAGTAATCCCTTCTCCTCCACTTCTCCACCCTATTGGGATGTGTGGGTACTCAGGAACACAAGCCTTATCTGGTTTTCCAAGCCACAATGCCAGGATTTAAACTATGTGGTTGGCCATGTGGGATCCAGCTCCCTTAACCACAGGACATGGGGCCTGCCCAATACTTGGGTGTTCAATCCACTGACTGGATCTTTGCTATTTCATAACCAAAAGCAATTCATAATTCAGAAACAATGTAACTGGATTTACAGATAGATAACGTTTCATAGGTAAATACGGTTAGTAGATGGATAGAAGGAGTCATGGGAAAATAATTTCAGATTAGGCAAGTCCAATAAGCAAGTTAAGGAAAATGCATTTTAAATAACCTTGTTTCCTATTTAAACTTGAAGAAAGGGTGAAGGTCACATGTGTGTATATATAAAGAGAAAAAAGGCTGGAAATGTATGTATTGCAGTATTATGAAGGGTTATTTCTAGGAGATGAGATTATGATGAACATCCATTTCTTTTATGACTATTGAAATTTTTGTTTTTAATAGTGAGTATAGGAGGGGCCAGCAGTGATATGGTGGTTAAAGGCGCTGGACTCCCACATGGCCGATCATGGTTTGTGTCCCAGACCTGGTAGTTGACTTTCTCTGCCCTCTCTCTCTTTCTCTATCTCTCTCTGATCAAACTGGAAAATAATAATAATAATAATAATAATAAATAAAGTTAAAATAATTATTTAAAAAAAGGGTGAGTATAGGGGCCTGTAGGTGGTGTAAGCAGTTAAGGTACTGGACTCCCACATAGCTGATTGTGATTTGAATCCCAGACCCAGTGGCTCGAATATCACACTGGTCACATGTCCATGTGTGCCCAAAATCCCAGGAGGAAAATGGAGAAGAGATTGTGGTATGGCTATCCACCCAGGGGATAATTTCTCACTTTCCCTCTCACTGTCTCTCTCTGGCAAGCAAATGTCTCCTATGGCAAAAACTTAAAAAAAAAAAAAAATAGTGAGTATATGTGCCAGCAGGTGGCATGGAGGTTAAGGCACTGGATCCTGCATGACCAACAGTGCAGTTCAAGTCCTGAACCTGGCGGCTTGGAAACCATGCCAGATAGACATGCCCAAAATTCCAAAAAAGGAATGGAAGAGAAGGAACGTGGCATAGCCATCTCCCATGGGGGATCATTTTTTTCTCTCTGTCTCTCTCTGGTGAGTACACATGCCCTATAACAAACTTAAAAAAATAAAGTGAGGATAATATAACTCTTCAGTTAGAATAAAATATTCTTTTTATTTGATATACACATGTCTGAAGAAGGAATGTATTAACCTGGCTTTAACTTGTCATTTCATTAAAAATTTTTCGTTTATCCACTTGTTACTATGACTTTTTTTAAAAGAATTATTTGATTTAACTTTTTTTAAATTTTATTTATTTATTTTAATTTGACCAGAGAGAGACAGAGTGAAAGAGGGAGGGAGAGGGAAAGCGAGAAAGCAAGCCACTAGGTCTGAGAATTGAACCATGGTCAACCATGTGGGAGTCTAGCGACCTTAACCACACGCCATGTTACCATAACTTGCTGAGAGAACTGCACTTGTTTCAGCTATCAGTTACCTCATCTTCAGTTTCCAAAACATATTTAAGACAGAGGTAAGGTCTATGTGATTATTTAATATCTAAGTATAAAAACAGTAACACTGAGTTGTCAGAGAAACCATGACGTTTTTTCTTTTTTTCTATGCAAAAATGCATCATAACTTTTCCAACAACCCAATATTACTGGGATAAGCAATGTTTTTTCGTAATCTGGCTTGATAGTAATTCATTCATTCATATGAAATAATGTTTATATGTGTATGAAGAACACAAGGAATAAAAACAAGACTTAGCAGACAAATTCATAAACACACATCTTCAAAGTTCACAAATGTTAACATAAAATATGGACGTTTCCTCCAACACATTAAAACAAACTTTGCATTAGAGACTTGCCTAAAATGATTTATGTACTGAATTTTAAAAAATAGTACAAGAAAGCATATTGGTAAAATAAAATTAAAAGTTTATGAATCTACTGCATGGGAATAACCATTCATCTGAGCATGCAGAGAGATCTAAAAGGTTGCCGTAGTCAGGCAACAGCCTAGACTTACGAGGGGCACCGGGAGGAGCAATCGTAGCCAGGTCTTCTTCTAACTTCCTTCTCTGATGGAGCAACTTGTAACCCAGAACAAAAACCTCCAAAACATGCTGCCTAGTACCAGGCCCCCACCATCTGACTCACCAGGGAAGAACTGAGTCTCGGGGCAAGGACATGTACCTACCTTCCCACTGGCCTGCCAGCACCAAGCTCCTGTTAATGACAACATCGATTTCCGTAGCTCCATCTTCCACAGCCAACCTAATCTCTTCTAATCGTGTTTTTAAATGAGTCTGTCCAGCTGGAAAACCAGTGGCCACTAGTAAAGATAAAGAAATGAAGAGAGAAAAAAAATTATTTTCAAATGGTTAGTATCTAAACAAAAAATTTCCAACACCCCTCCTCCCCCCCCCAAAAAAAAAAATCAGTGTTTATGATCTAGGTACAGTGGTACAAATGGTAGGGTGCTACTGAGAGAAGATGGGGTTACATGGGAGGCGTGGGTTCAGATCCTGGACCAACCTGAACAGGCCAGACATGGTATTATATGCCTGTAATCCTCACTAACTAGAAGGCCAGGACAGAGAGCCATAAGAGCAAGTCCTTGTCAAAATACTTCTCTCTCCTCTCACTCTTTTTTCTCTGCCTCCTCCTTCCATGCTTAAACAGGTACACACAAGTGCACATGCTCTCTGTCTCCCTCATTAAAAAAAAAAGCTAAATCTAAAAAGTTTTTAGGGCCCAGCTTTGGTGGTATAGGTGACAGAGTAGCACTATGCAATACTGAAGCCACATGGCAGGCCTAGGTTTGGAGCTCACGTCAAACTAAATGCGCCAGGTGTGCCCCCTCATGCCTGCTACCGTTGCTAGCTGGGAGGCTATGGGAAGGACTGTGGTAAGCCTTGTTGAGGGTGCCTGTATATATGTGTATCTCTCTTTATCACGAAGGAAAAAAAGAAAATTAAAAAAAAAAAAATCAGTGCCAGGACCAGCAGTTAGTGTAATGGCTATGTCGCTGGACTCCCATGTAGTCGACCGCGGTTCAAGTCCTGGACCTGGTGGCTTAAAACTCAGGCCAGGCATGTATGCATGCATGTCCAAGATCCCAAGAGGAGAATGGAGGAGAAGGGATTGCAGCGTGACCATCACCTCGAAGGGGTGATTTCTCATTTTCTGTCTCTGTGTCTCTCTCTGTCTGTCTGGCGAGCACACGCGCCCTGTAGCAAAAACCTCTCCAAAAAAACAAAATTAGTGCTTAGAGATCAAAGCACTAAGGGTACGTAAGAATATCATGCATATCCCAGAGTGAGAGTGAAGAAAAAAGGGACCATGGGAACCAGCAGTTAGTGTAATGGCTATGTCGCTGGACTCCCACGTAGTCGACCGCGGTTCGTGTCCCGGACCCGGTGGCTTAAAACTCACGCCGGGCGCGTGTGCGTGCGTGCCCAAGATCCCGAGAGGAGAATGGAGGAGAAGGGATTGCGGCGTGACCATCCCCCCTGGGGGGTGATTTCTCGCTTTCTGTCTCTATGTCTCTCTCTGTCTGTCTGGCGAGAGCACGCGCCCTACAGTGAAAATCTCTCCAAAAAAAAAAAAAAGAAAAAGAAAGAGAAAAAGGACCAGCAGATGGTGTAATGGTTACATCGCTGAACTCCCACATAGAGTTGACTGTGGTTTAAGTCCCAGACCTGGCGCCTTAAAACTCATGCTAGGCTTGAGTGCGTGCATGCCCAAAATTCCAAGAGGAAAATGGAGGAGAAGGGATCATGGTATGGCCATCCCCACTGGGAGGTGATTTCTTACTTTCTAGTTCGCTGGCAAACACATACGCCCTACAACATAAAACTCTCTCTCTAAAAAAAGAAAAAGAGAGTGCAGAAATAGAATGTTATCTCATATTGCATCAGTGTTAGACAAATATTAAAATTATATCCTTTTGAAGAGCTGAAATCACAGAGATGTTTGTGAGGGAACATTAAGTAGCCAACAATTCAAAAAATATGTCATTAATATTACCACAGTGATATCACAAAAGAGTAGCTGCAGGGGTCAGCAGGTGGCATGGTGGTTTAGGAGCTGGACTCCCATATGGCTGACCATGGTTCAAGTTCCAGACCTGGCAGCTTGCTTTCTCACTTTCTCTCACTCTTTTTCTCTCTCTCGGGGGAGCATATCTGCCCTGTAGCAAATTAAAAATAATGATACTATGGGACCAGCAGTTGGCATAATGGCTATGTCGTTGGACTTGCACGTAGTCGACCGCAGTTTGAGTCTGGTGCCCAGTGGCTTAAACTCACACCAGGAGTGTGTGCGTGCATGCCCAAGATCTCGAGGGGAGAATGGAAGAGAAGAGATTGTGGTGTGGCCATCTCCCCTCGGGAGTGATTTCTCACTGTCTCTCTGTCTCTTTCTGTTTTCTGGCGAGCACATGCGCCCTATAGCAAAAACTTCTCCCCCCTAAAAAATAAACAAAATAATGATAATAAATAAAATAAAATAAATACCTCCTAAAAAACACAAAGAGTCGTTGCAGGCCTGTTTGGATATAAACAGTGGTTAATTCTGATCCTACTCTTGATCAAGTTGCCTATCTTGATATATTCATTTACTCTTGATTTACTCTTTTACAAACCTTTTCAGCTGTGGTAACCAGATTGAAATTCAGGTTCTTCCAACCCTCTATCTTGAAACCAACAGCCAGGCAGATTAGAATAAAGGAAAGAGCATGCAGGAGGGAACAGTACCTAATTTAGTCCACAAAACTGGGGCAGAGGTACAGCTGGGAAGAGGAAGGCCAGGCACAAATAAGAGGAAAATGAAAATACAACTACTGTTTAGAAAAAGTACATTTTTACATGCACATCATTCATTCTATCCTTGTTTCTACAGAGAACCCACTGTGTCTCTTCGATGCTATTAAATTCCTTGGGCCTGGGGGCTGGCAGGTGGTGTGGTGGTAAAGGGTGCTGGACTCCCACATGGCCGACTACGGTACGAATCCTAGACCTGGTGTCTTGCTTTCTCACTTTCCCTCTCTGTCTGACTCTGTCTCTCTCCTCTCTGGTTAAATTAAAAATAAATAAATAAAGTTTAATAAATTAATTCTTTAAAAAAAAAAATTCCCTGGGTCTGCTACCTTAGAGTAAAACCTATTTCCCTGTCGTATAAAGGGGGAAAAAAGAACCAACTAGGCTGATGAAAAATTAAGGTGTTTGAAGGTGGAAATGCCAAACACATTGGGAATTCTCACAAATTGGCTATATATATAAATACAGGATGCCAGGCTTCTGCAGATGTATCCCTAATAAAATAATTAATGATCTTCATAGGCTCATTTTTTTTTTAAAGGATCATGACACTTTTGTTTGATTTTGCTACAGGGTGCATGTGCTTGCTGGAGAGAGAGAAATTTCCCCCTAGGGGGATTGGCCACACCATAATCCCTTCTCCTTTTGAGATTCTGGGCATACATGCACATGAACAGGGTATGTTTTTCAAGCCATAGGCCTGGGACTCAAACCATGCAGGTGGCCACGTGGGATCCAGCTGCCTTAACCACCATACCCCTGCGTGATACTTTTCTCACTTCTTTTAAAATTGTAAACTAACCAGGCAGCCATACTTATATATATAAACACATATTTACTAAACTGAAGTTTTTAAGACTTCTCTCCCTCATACCAAGTCCTACTAAATCTAAAATCAGTACCTTCTGAATGTACCCTTTATCCTTGAGGGTTTGGTATGGCTCTCATCATCTGCCACATAGACTATAATTGGTCTTAATGCCATTTCTAATTTTCCCATTCCCAGCAGGTAACTTAATGCACTATGAAGCTGGAATGCCATGCCTCTGCTTTAAGCCTTTCAGTACCCTCCCCATCATCAGAATAAAGCCAAATGCCTTGCCATGGCATGGACTCCCTGGTGATCTGGCCCTGCCCTACTCCTCCAGCTTCAATCACATAGCTCCCTTTTTGTCCTATCTTTGGCTCCAATAACTGCCTCTCAGCTCCTTGCACAAGCTCCTGCGCCTTTGCACATGCTAGTTCCTCTGTCTAACAATGCCATTCCTTGCCTTCCTGGCACTGTAAACTCCTCCTCAAAGATCTGATGCAGTTATTGTCTCCGCTATGAAGCATTCCCTTACTCTCTGAGTGTCACCATTCTTTGCAGAATGAATTATTCTGTGCTCAGTTACAAGTGTACCTTCTGCATTCTACATAGCTTTATTACTGTATTTACATATATAATGGAATGCATATGTGTGTGTGTGTGTGTGTGTGTGTATCCACATGTATATATGTCATATATCATGTGTTATTATTATTTTTTTAACCTATCTCTCCTGAACAACTGAGTTTCCTTAAGGAGAGAAACACAGGTCTCTAGGGAATTAAGAGACTGTCTGCTACTTACTAAGTCATTAATAAATACTGAAGTGATGAATAAATACAACTAATTAGATCTATGAAGTTAATTTCAATCACAGTATAAAATTCTATATAATACTTCATGGTACCTCATGGTGTCTGAGTTAAAGAAATGGATACATATTCAAAAATAACAACAAAAACCATAACTAATTTTACCTGATGCCACAGGGATATTACAGCCTGCAGCCTTCAATGCTTTTACAGCATCACATACTCGGGCTGGGTAAACACAAACAGCAGCTGTAGTAATGCCTGTGAAGAAAGACATCAAAACAGCCTACTTTATATGAAGTTCAACTCACACAATATGCTTTTAATTATTATTTATACTACAACATTGGCAGAAATCAATATGAGAGGAAAAAAAATCATTTCCTCATGATGCTGCAACAAATTAAAAGGTTTTACTTTCAGGGCCAGCAGTTGGCATAGTGGCGATGTTGCTGAACTCCCATGTGGTCGACCGTGGTTCAAGTCCCTGACCTGGGAGCTGGCTTTCTCACTTTCCCTTTCTCTCTCTCTGTCTCTCTCTGTGTGTCTGACAAGCACCCACACCTTATAGCAAAAACCTCTCAAAAAAAAAAATGGCTTTACTTTCTACATTCCCTTCTAGTCCTGAAAAACATGAATCATTTTCTTTTTCTTTTTTTAAAAGAATTATTTAATTCTTTAATTAATTAATTTATTTTTTAACTTGACCAGTGAGAGACAGAAAGTGAGCTGGCAGGTCTGGCACTCTAACCACACTCAGCTCTCTGGGAGTCCAACACCCTAACCACCACGCCCCCTGCTGGCCCTGTGGATAATTTTCTTACATTATTAGTCATAGAAAACGGTTCTGAAACACTATTCTTTGAAGTTCAAAGAGCATTTTATTTTAACTCCTAAATATCAATAGTAAACTGGTGGTCAAGAGAATGAAAATATTTTACTTCATGCAGACAACAAAATGCAGGCTCATTCATACAGCATCCAAACAGGACAGATGAAGACAAGTAGAAATGAAATTTACAGGCTGCTAGAGCAAAATGACATTTAGTTATTCCTACTCTCTGCTTTGCAGTAAATACTAAAATCTGAACCTGAAGCCTTTGTTTTAAGGAATAAGCTCTTAAATTAAGAAAATATAATAATAAAGAGGCCACTGTAAAAGAAAGCATAATTATAGGACCCTCATTCAAAGTTACACTAAGTGCTATAAATAAAGGTGGTGTTGTTATTGTCCAGTCAAAAGAACCATAGCAAATACTTTTCAAAACTATATAGCTGTTTAAGTCTATAAGTTATTTATAAATTATTGGGGGTAAAATATCTGCATTGGGCCAGTTTGTCATCTCTAGTAGTACTCCTGACAGACACTCAGGAGCCATGAAACATCCTTCCAAGGAAAGGAAATTTGGCTCTAAAACCAGTCCAGTACTAGTAACAAAACATGGTGACTGGGAGATACCACTTAGACTTCCAGGTCTCGATTTTAGCATGTCAAAAGTAAGAAGCTCAACCCTCAAAGGTCTCCATTTCTAAAATGGTAAGGTTCTCAACTTTACAAAGTCTCTTCTTTCATGTATACTAAAGAAGTGAATATGACTTTTTTCAAAAGACCTAACCTACTATACGAGCATGCAATATTTCCCATTTGCATTTTTATTCTCCAAAGTTTTTCATTTACTCACAGAAAATACTTAATGCATGAGATATGATTATTAAGTAATGAGACTGGCTTTTTCACATGTGGCTAGGGAATCAGAATCAGTATTTTAGAGTTACTAGATAGAAAATTTCCAAAGCAAAAGAATTGAAAGAAAATATAAAGGAACTCTCTTCTAGCAACTTTTATCTATGGATGGAAAGAAGTGACCTAAAAACAAGACTTCGAGTCTCTTCCTGCTGTTTTTCAGGCAAGAATCTCAATTATTTGTCTATGTATATAAGACCAGTTTCTAGCAGGGATTTTATCACTGCTATCATTTTAGCAGCTGAATCTCCTCTGAAGTTCTCTTAGGTTTACTAATTTGTATTGCAAACAGGTAAACACTAGCTGGATCATACATAATAACATTACCTTTATCATGCATATCTAAGGCTTTTAAGAGATCTTCTCGGATTGGATATTTGGCTTTATAGCAAAGTCTTTGGATGTTGGAAGATGTATCATCACCTGAAAGTGTAGTAAGATCTATAAATGTAACCGCTTTCAGGAGCCAAGCAGCCTAGATTAAAGAAAAGTGAAAACAGGGAAAATTTTAGAATAAATGAATGAATCTCCTGCTCAGTTAGTTCAGAATCATTAGACAAATATGGATGCCGCTATCTAATCAGTACACTATTCCAGGGCAGATTCTGATAAAGAATATACATATTTCCCAGGAGTGACTAACAAAATGAACGTTGCCCAAGATAAAGTAAAAGGTGGGAAGAATGGCCTTACATTTTTTTTTTCACCCAGAGATACCCCATAAGGAACCCCCCCTTAATGGTCTCCCTACTTCTGAATTTATCTCATCCATTAAAAGCCCATCATAGCTACCCTGATGTAAGAAGATTAAGGAAGAAGAAGGTTTCTATCTACATTGTACCTCTAGTACTCTTGGGATCTGGGATTAGATATTATAAAAAGAAGTTTCTAGGAGCCAAACAATAGTACAGCAAAGCAGAGCTCTACAAAGCTAACCCACATGGGAAGGTTCTGGGTTCACATCTAGAGACTTCCCTAAATATGCTGGGCATACAGGTGCCCATAATCCAGAGTTGGCTAAATCTAGGGGTGGATCATGGTAGCAAGAGCCTGATGGAGGTGCTATTTCTCTCACTCTCCCATTCTTGGAAGAAAAAGAAATACATTTTTTTAAAAAAATCCCTAAGTTCCTTTATAGCTTTTCCAATTTAATACAATTCTACTTTTCAAACAATATTCATATTTCACAACCCATTCTGATGAATTTCCTTTCATCTTTTCAATCAGAATATTTCCAAACATGAGCAAAATGTGAAATGTCACTCTAAAGGATTCAATCGCAATATTCTGCCTCACTTCTGAAAAGAACTTTGAATTCCTTTTAGACCTGCATAGCACGTCTTTGGTTAGTACACACTGAAGAATATGCTGACCACAGGTTCTCTACAAAACATCATTTTTAGAATTTTGAAAAATGATTTATGAAAAGTAATGGTAAGGTAAACATGATGATCAAAGAAGGTCAACACTTTTACCTAAGGGCCTCAACAGTGGACACACCAGGTATAGATGTTATGGTTTAAAAATTAAAATAGAAGACAACCAAAGAAGGCATGTCTAAGAAACTGAATAAATGTGTTGAGAAAATATGCCATTTAATTCGCTCATGAATAAAGATGCCTCAAATTCATTTGCGGTTTTGCCACTCAAGAGTGATAAGATTTTTAACTTGTTTGGATAAATGTGTTATCTTTCTCCAACCCATCATCATCATATATGAATTATTAAAATAAGTCATGGACAGCTGCAATCTTTTAAGTGTAGATGCATCTTGAGCGAAATTCAATATTGTGGCCTTGAGGGAAGAGACCATGCATTGTAAAATACAGGGACGGAATGCTCAAGAAGAACCCTTACTTGCCATTCCTTTTTCACGGATCTGCGAGCCTGGATCTGTTCTGCGTGCCTTAGAACTGCTGGTTGATTCACTTGTATTTTGGAGATCCAACTAAGGTCTAAAGGGGAAAGAACAATACTTTTTGAAACAAAGGTTTTATTAAACAGAGCCATCTATTTTTACATGGTCTTTGAAAGGGTACATTTATCACGGCCATCAACACTCTTGTAAAGCTTCTGCCTCTCTTGCACACAACTACAGATAAATATCCTTGCGGAAGGAAGCCCAGTCACCTATTACATGTTCTGCAGTACAGGGTTCATGTAAAATCAAGTAGATTTGGAACCAGAAGAACCTGTATTGATTCATTACATAGACAAGTTTACAATGGGGGGGGGGTGTGTGGAATGTGTTACCTATGTCACGTGACTCACTTCTGACAGCAAAGACTTATTTGTGAGTGTCTAGTCCAGGAAAGCAAATGATTAATAAATGCTTAAGTGAATTAATGTTGAGGTTTAAAGGAATCCTTGATCACTGCCCCTTACTGACAAGATTAATATCTACCAGATGCTGATATGATTCAGCCCATCCTTTCTTCCAAGGAGAATTTTTCAAAATGTACTAGAAATCATAACATTGAAATAACAGAAGATAGAAAAAAGGAAAGAAAAACAAGTGATTCAAAGTTCCAGGAAACATCTGTGTTGCTTCTGTTCTGTTCTCACCTTCCTTGATTCACCATCTCTTTTCTTCCACTTGACTGCAATTTTCATGTTAAGACCCAGCCTAAATGTTAGCTTTTTGTGAAAATACTGTCCAACCCCCCACCTCCTCAGGGAAGGAGCTAACATTTGGATGTAACCTGTACTACGTCAAGAAATTACGGTGAAATTGTTTCTTTTATTTCCTACGTGGCGACCCATGACCTTATTGATCTTCACACATTCAACCCCACACATGTACCATGTCTGGTACACATGTACAACTTACCCACTGAGACTCTATTACATAGGTGGCCGCACAGTAAAATGCGCATGTACCCATTTACCTTCTGTAACTAATGTTATTTCTACATCCCTCTAGCAACTCCGTGCTTTCGAAGGTTCGTCTTCTTGTAAGAGCCTTAAAATACTATGGGAAGGCAGACCCAGTGGTGCATACTTGTAATTCCAGGTACTCAAGCGGCTGAGGCAGGAGGATTGTGAGTTTAAGGCTAGTCGAGGCTACACGGTAAGACCCTATCTCTTAATGACAACTACAAAAAAACCTACTATTGAGAGAAAGGCTATTCATTAGGGACTATGTCCCAATTATGTAACTATAATGTGATTAGGAAAACTGCCAATAGCATATTGTACTGTGTAACAACACAAATAATACAATAAATTAGTTACATCTACCACAAAGATAAGACTACCAAAAACCAATGCTTACAAAAAGAGGGAAAAAAATCATCTCACTCCCATTTCCATTTGATTCTTAAAGTATCAACATTAATAGAAACCCTCACTTGGAATTTGAGTGATTAATAATGACATTCTTATTAAATATCACTGAAGAAAAAAACAGAATTGGGTGCTTTCTTTTTGTCTAATTAAATTATTTTGTTAGCTGAGATCATTTAACAAAACAGATTTTTAACATTTTAATCCATCTGCTCCTGCTCCTCAAACACGGTATGCTTTCCTGCTTACTTTCTGAGCCAACTTCACAGAGAAATGGGCACCTGAGGTCAGGCAGATGCAATCTGCCTCTTCTTTCCTACCCAAAGACTGACCTGGTTTGGGTCGGACATTAGACTCATTCCAATTTATCTGAGACATAAAAACCTCCCTCTGCCTGAATGCAGGGGAAGTCATTTTATTTTCATTGCCATAGGACATGTACACTCCCGAGAGAGAGAGAGAGAGAGAGAGAGAGGAAGAGGAAGCAAGCAATGGGGCACACTGTGATCCCTTCTCTATTTCTTCCCCCTGTTGGGATTTTGGACACTGATGCACATCTGCCCAGAGTGTTTTCTCAAGCTGCCAGGGCAGGATTCAAACGACATTCAGCCTTGTGGGATCCAGGTCCCTTATCCACCCTGCTATGTAGTCAGCGTCCCCCCCCACACACACACTCCCACCGATTAATCATGATGAGGTTAATGGTGAAAACTATTTCAGGCAGAGAGAAAACTATGAAGCTAAGAGTTGTGTGAACTACAAGGCTCACAGCCAAGTAACTGGTGGAAGCTGTCAAAACGAGGTAAGCATCTCACTCAGCGGGGCAAGGCTTGGAGGGGCTGTCCTTTACAGTCATGCTACACCCCTCTGAGGCTTTCTTCCCTATTCCCCACTCCTACTACAGCCAATGCTGGAAGCAGTTGTGCTGGAGAGAGCTGTAGGCAAACGCAGGATTCTTCTCCACCTGGTCCCCTCCTTCTCTTGTTCTCTGTCCCTCTAGCCCTATGTACAGCCTTCCTAAGCTACCAAAGTTCCCTAACGCCATGTCATATTCTGTGCCCTGCTTGTCCCTCCCACCCAGAATGCCTTCCTCACCTCGCCTGGATGGTGAAGTCCTAGTCATCTTTAAGACTCAATTCAATGTCACCTTCTCTGTGTGCTTTCCCTGAACCTCATCGGATATTTATTTGCTTTTTTATGCTTCCTCGCAATTTTACAGTCTATCTTTAGTAGAGTTCCCTTCGCTCAGAATGGCACTGATGTGTCTAAATGTTTATATCCCCAACAGATTTTTTTTGCCATAGGGAGGGCACCCCCAACAGATTTTTTTAACTCCAAGCAAAGTTCTTGACACATGGGTGGCATTCCATAAATAAGTTGAATGGTTCCCCAAAAAACTACTAGTGACCTAATTTTGAATAATGTCTTTCTTCACTGTTTCTGATTAGAAAGAACTTTAGGTTGTCTATAAGAGATGGGATTAAAGTAGGAATGAGATGCTTGGGCACATCCATATTAAAAACTATTTTTCTTTCTTTTTTAGTTTTTAATAATTATTTATTTATTTAATTCAATTTGGTTTTTGTTTTTAAATGTGACCAGAGATAGACAGATAGAGAAAGTGAAAGCACAAAAGCAGGCTCTAGGCCCAGGATTCAAACTGCAGTTGGCTATGTGGGAGTCCAGAGCCTTAACCACCATGTCACCTATTGCCCATTAAAAACTATTTTTTAAAATAACTATTTATTTAATTTTATTCATTCATTTATTTTAATTTAACCAGAGAGAAACAGAGAGAGAGAGAAAGAAAGTGAGAATGCAAGCCACCAGGCCCAGGACTCGAACCGTGGTCAGCCATGTGGGAGTATTCAGCACCTTAAACACCATGCCACCTGCTGGTCCCTTAAATACTATTTTTTTAAAAAATCTTCTAGAAGACACTTGTGCTCACCAGTAAGAGACAGACAGAGACAGACGGGGAGAGAGAGAAAGCACACCCCATGGGGAATAGTCACACCACAATCACATCTCCTCCATCAGAATTTGGGGCACACACCCTCTCATATGTTCTTGGCATGTTTTTCAAGCCACCAGTTCTGAGACTCAAATCACATGGTCAGCCATGTGGGATCCAGCTCTCTTAACCACTGAGCCAATGGTTGGCCCAAGACTGATTATTTTTTTTTTGGAGAGGTTTTTGCTATAGGGCGCGTGTGCTCGCCAGAAAGACAGAGGGAGACAGAGAGACAGAAAGCGGGAAATCACCCCCCAGGGGATGGCCATGCCGCAATCCCTTTTCCTCTGTTCTCCTCTCGGGATCTTGGGCACACATGCACACATGCCCAGAGAGATTTTAAGCCACCAGGTCCAGGACTCTAACCGCGGTCGACTACATGGGAGTTCAGCGACATAGCCATTACGCCAACTGCTGGTCCCAAGACTGATTTTTTAATACAGTTCCCATCAATGGTTAGAGCCTACAAGCCTGCTCTCACACTTCTCCAATACCACTTGCCAGAGGTCCCTGCACACCACCTACAGGGAAGTATAACAGGATTACTTCTCTCACAATGTCGGCCTCAACTGCGAAGAATATCATTAGTGGTCATAAAATTACCCAGCCTAGTATTTAATCCAGGCATTGAATTTGCTTCTGTGACCTCCCGTGACAATGAATTATCTAAGTGACTATCTCATTTTATTAGCACTTAATTTGCTACTCTTTAATTTCATCAAATAACCCTTGTTCTCATATTATGTGGTCTGAGGAAAAGAAAGGGCTGATTGGCCTTTGTTATGTCCTTCATAATTTTTAATATTTTATTCAAGTACCCTTTAGCGGCTCCTTTCCAGGAGAAGTGATTCTAATGCACACAATCTCATCAGGACCATAGGATCTTCTTAGCAGGCCAGGCGGGGTTTCAAGTACACATGCCTTTGGGGAGAATAGACATGAAACCAGAACTGGAAGGCAATAATACTGTTTTTTTAAAAACTTTCCAATGAAGGAAATCCCACTGTATCTTTTAGTATGCCATTTTGGGGGCTTTCAGGCCCTTCTGTTAGTTATAAATTTGTTCTCGAATACCCTTCACACAATTTATTATTTTTCCTGTTAAACCTCAATGGAGACAAAAATCATTTTCCCCACAAATCTGCTTTCTTGCCTTTCCATCACTTCTGTTTGTGTGTCTATGGATTTTCTTCTATTCTTTACAATATTCCTAAGAAATGTAACACCAAATAATAACACTAGGAAATGAGGTGTATTTTGTATTTCGATTTTACCTTTGTACCTTACAGGCAAAAATAAATCATGATACTTTACTGGAGAATTTTCCCCCCCAAAAAATTGGGGATAAGTGATATTAAATTTCAAGTATTTTCTCTTAATTCTTTATGGACTTTTTTTTTTTTTTAATGGTTTTTGCCATAGGCCATATGAGCTCACTGGAGAAAGAGAGAGAAAGAGAAAAAGAGTGAGAGAGTGAGAGAGTGCAAATATGAGAAATAACACCCTCGCCCCCAGGGGAATGCCCATACCACCATCTCCTTTTCTCCCTTTACCTATCAGGATTTTGGGCATACACACACATGCATAGCATAATTTTTAAGCCACCAGGCCCAGGACTTGAACTTTAATCAGCCATGTGGGAGTCCAATGCCTTAA